ATATATATATATATATATATATTAGCCTTAGCCTCTTATTGTTAGACGGTAGCGAATCTAATATATGTAAATAGTAATATATAATAACAAAAGAGATTAGTAAGATAAGAGAATGTAATTAGAATCACCGACAAGAATGTCAATAGAAAGATCTAATTCAATATTATAGATTCTTAACTAACAAATTAACTTTTTGATTGTGGTGTAACATATTTTATTGAGGAAGTTTTACAAAACAGAAATAACTGTTGGCTCTTTAGGCATGACTCATGAACCCTGCAACTTATAGCGAAATGAACTGGTTTGATGCTTATTCTGTTTTTAACTATCTTGTGATGTTTTCATCTCTTTTTAATATTGCGAAGCAACAATTACATTGAAGGAATTACATTGATCAAAATAATTTTACTATTATATGCCTGGTTCTGTCTTCTCTCTTTAAGAAGTTTCTTAATTTTTCTCTTTTTTGAAGTTTGATCAGTGTACCTGAAGAAATGCCTTAGATATAATTAATTACTAGACATATTACCATAAATCTGAAATTTATTTTATGATACGTTCTTTTATAGTCAACGTTTTACTAATCAGTAACAAATGACAGCTCTTTTAGGCTGGTGAAGCGTGCAGTATCGCAACCAACTCCAAATAAGATGATACATCCATTGGAACGATCAACGAGTGTCGGGCCTCCAATTTCACAGCAGACTACTCAGACCGCGTCAACCATAAGATCTACCGCGCCAGAAAAACTCTGACGATTCGCACGCTGCCGGTCGTTCTTCGAGCCCCGGCATTAGTTTATATATATTTAACTGTGAAACTGTACGAGGATAGTTCGGAGAGGAAGTCCTCGTATATTTCGACCGACACGTGCTCAACAATCTAAAGAAGATAATTCTACTTTGTTACTCCGCCTTTTTATATCCTCTCTGTATACCTGTATTGTAAATTTAAAAAAGAAAAAAAAAAAGAAGAAGGAGAAGAAAGAACGCGACTTGATACGACTCGATGTTGTATAAAACGCGAATATCAACTGTATAGAACTCCTCCCATCCGGTGCGAAGAAGAAACTTTTCAAACGGGGAAAGATATAGGTTTGAACGTACGAGGACTTTGTCTTTTTATCCCTTTTAATCGTTATTGTATCATCTGCTATTTTAAAGCGCGATGCGATTGATTTTTTTACCGGTTTACTACCAGAGCTTTTTTCTAGCAATCTTTCCATGGTAAAAACCATAATACCAGCAAAATGCGATCGAGCACGATCAAAATTTTTGATAATGTAGCTTGAGACACGAATCGAGTCTAGTTCCTAAAAGAAATGTAGATGTTGTCATCTTAGA